CGGAACACCATTTCTGGAGCACTCATGTGCTGAGCCGAGTGTGTCACAGGCCTTGTTCGTCCTGATGTGTCACAGCAGCCCTGCAAGGGGGCAGTGCTACCCCCCTTTCACAAATGGAAAAGCAGAGGTTGCCAGCCTGCCTCATGCCACACAGCAGGTGAACAGTGGTTAGAACCTGAGCCCAGCTGTGCCCGCTACACCTCGTGTTCCAAGCCACCATGCCTACTGCCTCTCTACCCACAGGCCAGGCAATTTCAGGAGAGTAATTTAAACTCTGGGTTTCTGATGTATCACTTGTCCGGCTGGGGCAGGATGGTCTCAGATTCCCAGGTTCACAGCCTAGAGCCAGTGAGGCTGCCAGAATCAGCCTGCTCTGCAGCTCTGATTTCAGGATGGATGGGGTTGGGGGTGGGGGTGCAGTGACACAGCTGGTAGAATGCCTCCCATGCTGGCAGCAGCCCTGGCGTCTGTGGACAAGAAGCCATGTGGAGAGAGTGCCTGAGGGGTAGTTGACTGGGGGTGGGTGGGCTGTGGGCACACCCCAGTTTCAGGTCCTGCTCCACAGGTCTCCTTGGTCTTCCTGGTCAGCGGGCTGGTCATCCTGGGCTATGCTGCTGCTGTCAGTGGCCAGGCCACTTACCAGGGCGTGGTCAGGGGGCTCTGTGGCCCCGCCATCGGGAAGCTGTGTGAGGCCTGCTTCCTTGTCAACCTGCTCATGATCTCCGTGGCCTTCCTCAGGGTGATCGGGGACCAGCTGGAGAAGCGTAAGTACTTTTGTGGGACTTGGGGTGGCCCAGGGTGCTGGACCTCTAATGACCTCTTGGGGTTTCCAGTTGATGAGCAGGACGTGGGGCACTGACCTGGGCCCTGAGGGACAGCAGAGGCTGAAACCACACTCTTGTTCCTAACATGGTGGGGAAGGGAGGCTCTGCATGGATAGTCACCAGTGGGGTGAGAGTCATGGGCACACAAGTGCATGAGAGAGGTTGTGGCTGCAGTTAGGATGTCCAGTGGAGATAAGTCGTTTCACAGATGAGGAAATGGAGCCACCAGTAAGCAGCTCCTTCTGGGAGAGAATCAGTAACACCTTTGACTTTGGGATGACTGTGGCTCTCAGCCCTCAGGCAGACCCAGCCTCTAGTTCCCGACTAAGATTTTCCCTCTAAGCACTGCTTTAGCTGCATCTTACCAACTTTGGGATGTCCTATTTTCATTTTCATTTGACTCATTTCTCATGAATGGAAAATGTAAAATATTTGCTAATTTTCACTGTGGTTTCTTTGACTCATGAGATGTTTAGAGCTGTGGTGTTTAATTGCCACCTGGGGAGATTTTTCGATTCCTTCATGGTTCCTACCTTAATTCTCATCATGGTCAGGGAATCTGTCATTTCTGTCTTTTGAGATCCACTGAGACTTGCTCTGTAGTCCAGCACATGGTCTGGCTGTCTTGGAGAACATTTTGTGTGCTCTTCAAAGAATGTGTACTCTGCAGTTGCTGGGCGCAGTGTGCTGACAATGTCCATTAGGTCAAGGCAGTCAACAGCTGTGTTCAGATCTCCCATAGCAACCATATTCATCTTTAGTTCTGTTCCTAAGGAAAGGATGTTAAAGGGTGTTAAAATTGCCAGCTGTAATTGCAGATTAGCCTGTTCTGTCAAGCTTCATGCTTCATGGTCTTTGAAACTCTATCCTTTTATTGTTATGAAGTATTCTTTATCTCTGGTACTAAATCTGTCTTCTCTACTATTAACGTAGCCACTCTAGCATCCTTAAGACTAGTGTTTGTATAGAAGTTAGTTCTCTTCTCATTCTTTTACTTAGAATCTAACCGTGACTTGGATTTTTGTTTGTTTTTTGTTTTTTAACGTGTTTATAATTCCTTTTTGCAACACCAGCCTGAGAATGGCTTGGGATTTTAAAATGCATTTCTTGTAGGCAGCATATGGTAGGGTCTTGCCTTTTTATCCAGCTTGACAGTCTCAGTCTTCTGATTGGAATGTTCAGACTTCTAATTGGAGTGTGATTGTTGATAGGGTGACATTTAGTCTACCATTTTGCCATGTGTGTGTTCTGTGTGTCTCTTGATCCTTGAAGCAAAAGGCCGCTGACTGGGGAGGGGGTATTGAGATTGAAGGCTGCTGTGTCTTGGTAAACACTATCTTATACCAAAAAGAAGTGAGATTGGCATATCTGAACCTCTTAATGGGTAAGTGGGCACAAAAACATCCTGCTCACCAGTGGCAAGTAGAGTTCGTCTGCAGTTTCAACTCCAGTGAACTGGTAGTGTTGCTGTGTTAAGAGGGATTCCGAGCCTCACTGGGAACAGAGGCCCCTGACTAGTCAGAGGGCAGATGAGGATATGGGCCACCCCAGGTCTCGGTGGATTGACTGTGGTGGAGAGAGCGTTCTTGTGTATATCTGGTTAGATATTTGAGGATGCCTCTCTGTAGGGAAGGCCAAGCTTCTGAGAGGGAGTGCTAGATAGAGGTTGGAGTGCTTGGGGGAGTCATGGCATGAGGTACAAATGGCTGTGTCTTTGGTGCCGGAGATCTCAAGCATCCGGGAACGCTAGGTTTAGGAAGGAGCTGGTGTAGTCCTGCTGTTGGCCCCGAGGATCCTGGCTATGGGAGGTCCAGATGCAGACAAAGGGCCTGCCGCATCCCACGCTGCCTGGGTCTAAAACCCGCCCAGGATCTCGGTGCAGTCCTGGGGCGTGTGCATTCCCTTGGCGTCTCTGGCTGTCCCACATGGATGCTGCTGTGACCACCTGCTTGTGGAACCTTCCCCTTCATCATTTTGTACACATGAGCTGTTCTCACATGCATTCACTTTTCACACGGCTCCCCTTGTTGAGTGAGATCAAAGAAGCATACATGACACCTCAGTGCCAATGACCCCCGAAACGAATGAAGACATCTCAAGCTGCTCAGCCTCCCACCTCCAGTGGTCGCAGGGGCCACCTCGCCTGCCCAGGTGGTTCCCAGTGGCTCCCACCTCCAGCCACCCTCCCACTCTCCTGTGCTTCCCCCCCCCATCTGTCTTGTCTCTTAGAGGGGTTCCAAATCATTCATCCCACTGTGGCAGAATAAAAATGGCCCCAGATTCTTTGGTATTCTTTCCATGGAGAGGTTAGTAGAGCTTGTGTCCCTTGCCTTTGAATTAGGTGTGCCTGTATGGCTTTGTCCAGCAGTGTGTGGTAAATGGGATGCTGCGCCAGTGCTGGACCTGGCCTTTAAGAGGACAGGCAGCTTCTGCCTCTGTCTCTGGGATCCCTCAGCTGCCAAGGAAGAAGTTGGAGGCACCTGCTAGAAGGCCCATGTGGAGAGACTCCCAGACTTCAGGGAAGGCCCGGGTGTACCCACCAGGCACCAGGTGTTGAGGGGAGCCATCAAGGGCCCTCCAGACCATCCCCACTACCAGCCAGAGACCCCCAAGCAGCCCCAGCCAATCCTATATGGAGAAGGATTGGCCAGCCAGGCCCTGAACTAATTCTCTACCTACAAGCTATGACTTGTTGTAATAAAGTGGTTCTAAGCCACTGCGTTTGGGGTCATGTGTTTTGCTGCTACCATGGGAACCTGCTATTCTGATGGACAGCAGCCTGGTGCTGCCTGCACAGTGACCAAAAATCTACTTCAGGCCCCCATTTGACCCCAGATACTGTTGAGTTCCTGAGCAAAACAAAAAGAGGCTTTCACCAGAATGTAAGGGGCATGAGGGCAGATGGCTTGTCGGGTCATCGCCGCATCTCGGGCCTTAGAGCAGTGCTGGCCTTGGGGAAGAAGCTCAGTGAATATTTGTTGAATTAATTCGTGTGTCAGGTTTTGTTCCTGTGTGGGGCACGTGACCTGTCTCCATCTCACTTGTCATCCGATCCCTGGGCTCCTGGGGCTGACTGAGGGTGGATGTCCAACCCCACTCAGGGTTGAAGGGCCAGGCAGGAGCCAAGAACCCATAGCGTTTGTGCTCTGTGGCTCAGCTCTCCCTGTGTCTCTGGCAGTGTGTGACTCCCTCCTGTCTGGCACCCCGCCCGCCCCGCAGCCGTGGTACACAGACCAGCGCTTCACCCTGCCCCTGCTTTCCGCGCTGGTCATCCTGCCCCTATCCGCCCCACGGGAGATCGCCTTCCAGAAATATACAAGGTAAGGGCTGGGGACGCTGCTGCCCGGTGGGGGCCCCCACCTTGCTGAGTGTTTGTGTCAGGGTTTCTGTCCATCTGGGGTCAGAGGAGCTGGGGGATTGGCCTTCCCATTTGGAGAAGGGGAAAACAATATGAAATTATGCAAGTAAAATGTTTTCCCGATGGAAAATACAGACGAGCCAAAAAAAGAAAATGACCTGTAACAACATCAGTGTTACTCACGATTTCATTGTTGGACTTTTTGCACATGGGCTCAGAGAGACACCTCCCCACAACACACCCACCCGCACCTACCCGCGCGCCCCCCACCCCGCGCGCAGCCGCTCCCCGC